TCTGAGTGCACCTCCTTTGGATCTGAGAGTCTGAACTTACTCCTTCTTACCTTCTTCCTCTAAGTGTAGTCCGTTTGGTTCTGAGAGGAAGGCGGTAGACGGGCTTACAACCCGTACTCCGCGCAAGGGCCTTTGTGGGAGGTTGCCCCACCGATTGCGGGAGCTCTGTCGGGACTCAGGCGGAGTCCTGGAGGCAGGGAACTGAGTGGTAATCCCCTGACTCCCTCTATAAACCCAACTATAACCCCTACCTGTACATCTCTCTACGTTTGACTGAGCGTATTGCGTGGATCCTGTACTCTGATCTTGGTTTGACTGTCAGAACGTAAGTCAGACTGAAGTAAAGGAGTGCGTGTGCAATCTCAACTTCAATTTTACTGATTGCCTGAAAGCAGATTATGAACGAGGTGGGTTGCATCTGGGGGAAGTTTGGGAGGAGGGCAGTATTGTGTGCAGATTGACTGGGTCACTAAGGCTGGGAGGTCCCCTTAAGTTTGGGGAAGCCCAGCGCTTTGTTATTTCTGGTTTGCATGGAGCCTCAGACCGCTCTATAAGTTTAGGTAGCCTGAAGCTCTGGAGGCTGGGATGTCCCCATAAGTTTGGGGAGACCTGGTGCTATGAATTGTGTGGAGGGTCAGGACGCTCTATAAGTTTAGGTGTCTTGACTGCTCTGACCTGTGGGGATTTGACTGTGAGTGGTTCTCAGGGACCCGAGGCGCTCGATAAGTTTAGGTACCTTGGGTTGCCTCGTTTTGTTTGGGGTTCTCTCAGTTTCTTCTATAAGTTTAGGTAGCCTGTCCCACTGCGTCGCACAGATTGGATCAGAGAGAAACGAACCTGGCAGAGGATCAGACCGCTCTATAAGTTTAGGTGGTCTGACCCAACGCCTCGCACATATTGGAACCCAATGGATTTAACTTGGCTATGTTATGTTACTATGTTATTGAGAACAGGCTAATCAGGCCGCTCTATAAATTTAGGTAGCCTGACTATAGCTTATCACAACAGAAGAGAGTATAATTAAAAGATATAATTGAGGGTAATTGCGGGCAGGCGGAGCAATGTTCTAAGTTGAGCGGCTCAACCTTATGTCCCTTTGAAGACTAAGTTCATATATATATATATATATATATATATATATATATATATATATATATATATTCCGGCTATTTAAACAGTTCAGGACGACTAGAGTGGTCTAGTCAGACGCCCAAAGAAGAGAGAAGTAGTTGTGCCCTCTGTTTGTGTATACTGGCCAAGTCAGAACGCTCTATAAGTTTAGGTATTCTGACCTTGGGCCTGGCTAAGTTGGGTGCGCTCTGTAAGTTCAGGTGCCCTGGCTTATGCCTTATGTAAGTTTGGGTATGAAAGGGATAACTCACAGAGGAAGCATGAACTATTGTTTGCTAAAGGAGCTTGGGGTTGGTGAGAGTACTTACCTTTGTGGTTTGGCCTGCATGTGGCTGAGTGAGGTTACTACTTGGTCTGGGCCTCAGGTTAACCGGTAGTTGCTTTAGAGGCTCGTCACGGGCTAGAGCGATAGGAGCTAGGTCGATTCCTGCTTTTTCCGAGCTGACTTTTTTTTGCTTAGATCAATTCTCGCATTTTCTAGGATCTTTTGTTATACCTGGCTTCGTATAAATCTTGGCAAGCCACTTTCTCTACAGGAAGCGCTGCCAAAATTTCTACAAATCCAAGGAGTTAGTCAACTTTTGACTTGTCAAAATTCAACTTGTCTAATCTTTATATCTGGCTTAGTAAAAATTTAGAAAGTCTCATTTTCTAAAGGGAATGCTGCCCAAATTTTTGCTAATTCAAGGAGTTAGACAAAATTGGACTTTGAGAAGTCAAAGTTATTTCCATATTTTGAACTTAGCCTTGTATAAATTTTGGAATAGCACTTTTCCAAATGGAGTGCTGCCAAAATTACTGCAAAACTAAAGAATTAACTAAATTTTGTCTAAGTTGAACCCAAATTGTCTCTTAGTTCATATCTGACTTAGTACAAATCTGGGGAGTCTCCCTTTCTAAAGGGAGTGCCGTCCAAATTTTTACTAATTCAGGGAGTTAGGCAAGGTTATTTCTATTTCCATATTTGAGCTGATATAAACTTTGGAAAGACACTTTTTCTACGGGAAGCGCTACCTAAATTTTCTTGATTTAGAGGAGTTATATTATATTTTGACAGGTGTCGATTTTGGCAATCCACCCTGAATAGGGAAGATTATGTCGGGGTCTATCTTTGCTTTGGGCACGGCTTACAAGTAGATTCAGGCTTAGTTATTTAAGTTGATTTGAGTGGGATCGTGATATGGGGGTTGTTCTCCATGGACTTATAGGTTCAGCCTGGGGATTGACCTGTCTTGTGTTACAGGCCATCTTGATCGATTTGATTCAGGATTTGGACCAGTTCCGGATTGATCCTACGAGGATCGTCTTCTGTTATCACTGATAACAGGTCGGTTGCCGATTCGTCGGTCTTCGACTCAATTTCAATCCATTCCCCATACTCAACCTAAAAGGCTTTAGCCCTGGTGGTTTTACTGTTTGTTAAGGGTTTTACCCGGACTTTTATTGAATGGTAAGGTACTAAGTATTTAATTAAGATTGGTTGGATCGGCGATTGGGGCTTGCATGGCTAAAGCGAAGGGGTATGAGCATAGAGAATGGTTGGGGTTGACTCCGTGTAGTGTGTGCTTTGTCGCTTGATTCTCGGTGTGGTTGCATGTATGTCCTGTGGCTTGGATTTTGGATTTGGACTGCCTGCGATTCCATATACATATGCACGGTTGTGAGGCGGCCCACTGTGCCTGTGAGGAGTGATCGTCATAACTCTATCCCCTTATGCATGTATGCGCGAGTATCCGTACGATGGGTATCCAAGGGGCCCAAGGGGGCCGTGCTAGTAACCGCGCGGAGGTTGGGACAAAGGGACAGGGAAGACCCCCCCCCCCCCCTTCTGCCTATTTGCGTCTTGGGGCTTTTTTAGTCAGACGTTGGTCCTGGGCCGGGATTCGAGGTCCTTGTCCAGGACATCCCAAGCCCTAGGCCCAAAAGGGGAGGGGTCTCCCCTTGCATAAAGCCTATTTATTTTGGCCGGCGGGACACTCCGCCTGGAGGGCGGAAATGTCGCAAGGGCCGAACGGCGTATCCTTCAGCCATTCAATATCGTGAGGGGTAACCCCTCGCGATGAGCTCCTTCAGCCATTCAATATCGCGAGGCCGAAGCCGCGGTTACCACATATGATTGGCATCAGTGGTTGACATAGTGTTGGCCTGCGGCCGCGCAATTTTATATCGGAGTCCTGCGCGCGACGCCTCGCCGCCCCCGGCGTCTAAAAGTTATGGGACTGCTGGACTTGCGCGTAGGCGCAACGCTTGGGATTATTGTAGGCCGCCGGCACGGGCTGTAGAAGGGAAGTGTGTCCCAGAGCCATGAATTTTTGTTTTAAGGGTCGGGAGACCCTCGCCCTATCCCCTTTTCTTGGATTCGTGCGGGTCTTGTTGCTTCTTAAAGATTTTTTTATGGTTAGACGTTGTAGTCCGTGGTAGCCGTCAAAGTCAAACCCCTTGACTTTCGCCCAGGCCCCGGGGAGGACTCACCCCTAGGGCCGCGAAAGACGATTAGCACCACAGGCATGGGCCTGTGTACCACCCACTCTGCATAAGGGTGCAGAAGAGGGCGTGTGGTCTTCAACCGCGCATGGCGGTTGTCCACCGTCGAGAGATTAACCCTCAAGGCGCGTGTCAGCCGACACTTGAGTGTCGAACGCGACCCTCGAGATTAATGAGGACCGCAAGAGTATGGGTACCACGTGGTACGTCATCATTGCGACCGCTTGCATCATGAGTCGATATGAGTTAGCCCTGCGTCCGCGCGATTTTTATACTAAGTCTCGCGCGCGACGCCTATCCTATTTCCACGTCAGGAAGTTATGGGTTGGCTACCGAGGGGCTAGGAGCGTTGCCGCGTTGTTTGCGTTGTGTCGTTCCGTGTGTATGTGTGCGTGTTGTTGTCGTGTGGTTGTGGTGTGCACGTGGGGTGTGGGATGCGTCCTAGTCGACCGACGACGAGTTGCGCTTGGGACTTCAACCCCCCAAGATGTCGGTTCTCGTGCGGGTCCAATAGGCATATTACCGCACGTACCCCCTATGCTACAGCGAACGAGAAACGCCCTTGGCTGGTCCACCTCTGCAATTCCAACTGGTCAGCTTTCGTATTGTGGACTGGTAGTTCGGCGGGGATACGCCCACCGATGAGAGGTGACAACTCCCGTAAGGTGGAGGTAAGTTGTGCCTCGCGTAGGCCCTATCCTGTCATAGGGGCTCGCGAGAGGTATGGCTCGCGCACTCGGCCGGAGTGGCCTGAGGAAGCTCCACTCGCGCATTATGTCGAGATTGATCCAACTCCTGCGTGACGCAGCTGAGAGGGTCCCGCGCCGCCGCGTGCGGTGCCGGGCCGATGCGCCCGACACCAACCTACAGTGTTCCGCCCATCTTTCCTTGAGGGTCCGTGAGGTTTTTCCAACATAAACAGGACTGTGACTGAGCGATAGGAGGACATAGACACATTTATCCCCTTTAAGTAATCTATCCCAGTCCTGTTTGTCGAATCTTAGCCAGAAACGGACATATGTCTTGCCCCACTTAATATCCCCCCTAAGGCAAGCAACGAGGATTATCAGCACATGAACTTGTTCCAGTAGCGTAGCTACTTGCTGCCCTACACACTGCTTAAGAGACCGAATACGTTCGACTTCACGCCTAAGCGATCTAAGGCTCCCGAGACTCAGTTTCCCTGACTGTATCTTCGTCGGCAACGTCACCTCCGTCTATCCGGCTCGTCTCGTTCTTCTTCGAAGGTCCGACAACAACCGTGGATTCATTAGCGTTCA